TACCCCTTTAACAGCTCATTCACAAAGTGTTCAATTGCTTTGTGAAAAGATTAAAGGCTGTGCCAGTCATTTCATATGAAGTCGTGACCAGACCAGACGACACTTTCAAGAAATTAATCAAACAGCGGTGGCCAAATACCAGCGTCACAGACGAGGCAGTTATCTGCTATTTGGGGATCTTGGCTTTACAAAACTCTCTAGAGTCAGTAACCGGTAGACGTTTGAGAGAGCGCACCAGCTAGTCAGACCAGTTCGGATGAGACGAGCAGTCAGTGAGCTTATAATAAAGAGACAGACAGGGTTTCATGTTTCAGGGCTGACGAACAGCCGAGTATAAAACCATTACACACTGAATAAGCAGGAACGTACGGCATGAAACCTTCAGGAGGTTCATTAAGAAAACATCCTTTTACAACATGCTTTCATTTTTTGTTACACTTCAGTTTTTTTGATTTTCCAAAGCGAAAACTCTAAACTTTAGTTTCCTAATCTCAGCGATGACACATGATACACCACTACTGTAATGTGTGTGTGTGTGTGTAGTGCTTTCCAGGTTTCAGTTTTGGCCCTGTGGCTATTATCATTGTCCACAGGGTGACATATAAAGCTCAAACAGGAGGGTGTGTTCGCTCACAAAGCACTCATCCAGCGAGCGGGGATAACACACTTCGACTGTGTGTTAATGCACTTGTGGACAAAGTGAGAGAGAGCAGACTTGAGGATACAATTCCCCCGTGACTTTCTTTCAATCATCCCCCACCAGACTTCACTTGTCTTTTGTCTCCTTTTTGCTCTATTGACCTGGTTACTTCAATAGCTCCATCCTGCAGTCTAGTGGACCCTACACACACTCCGGCTGGGTCAGTGGGACAGTCATTCATTCCACTGAGTGTATTTGTCCTGCTAAATCCAATACATCCCAGATATGGTGTGATCCCTTAAATCAGACCAGCTTGAGAACAATCCTAAAGTGCTTAAAGGGGGCGTCCATTAACACAATGCTGTGTGTGTGAGTGTGTGTGTGTGTGTGTGTGTGTGTACAGTAAGCCATCTGCTCTGGACACTAATGGGTCAATGTGTATATAAAATGGGTAGGGGGGCTTTAAGAGAGCTGCATTACATGTGATGTATATGAAAGCTCCACGTTGGACAGGAAGAGGGGGACGGAAAAGGTGTGTCTGGAAGGAAAACACACAAACACACACACACACACACACACACACACAAGGTTTGGGAATACAGGATGGAAGAGGAATTAAAAAAGGAATATAAACATATAGAGCTGGTGACATGAGTACAAATGTAAATATGTTGTGTAGGTGTGGTAAGATACCATTTAGCTGCCAATGGTGGTCTAGCCTGTTTGCCAATTTTAGGGATAGCAAAATGCCTAACATGGAAATTAATAAAGACGAATTGAGTGTCAATGGCAGATAAATTATAAAATGTTAAAAAACAAAGTTAGCTTACAACGGTCTTATTTATATCCTTTAATCGCCTAAAATAGCCTATGGCACTGGTATAATCCCGTGAGTTACACACCCACGTTAACAAAACACGCAAATATATCGAGATATTAACTATAAACTAGTATACAGTATTAACACAGGGGTTAAAACAATCATTATTCAGTACAACACTATATGTCACTATAATCTTATAAAACCTTTGACGAGTATTACAACGTTGTGTAAGAGAGAACAGGTGCCTTCAGGCTGGACCGTCAAACTCAACCAAACCGCACCCAATAAACTACCAATAATAACTAAACTCACTAAAACACAAATATTACAGAGATAAAACTCACCGATGTTACTCAGACATGTTTGTCTTTGCCTCTTCTTGTATTCGGCGCTAGTGTTGGCAGTCCAACATTGTTAGCTTTGAAGAAAAAGAGGGTTTTTTGGGGGTTAAAATCGGTCCTGGGTGCAGCTACGTTAGTGTACTTTAAACTTCACTCGAGGTTTAAAAAAAATAAAAAATAAAACTGTCGTTGAATAAACTGTATATAAAAAAATGTGCACAACTAAGGAACCGGTTCACTTTGTTTCTGTTTCTATGACAGGCTGGTTATCTGAGCACCCATCATCCCCCTGTTGTTGTCTCCTTTGTTACCAGCAGCATGTGTGAGAGGAGCGGACGGGAGGTAGGAGGGTAACAACCATGGTAACAACCCCCCTGAGGGCAGAAAGTAAACCAAAGTCACACACACATGTTTAGAGATTCCGGTTGTGGATTGCAAAATAAAATCTATAGACTCTAAAAGCTTCTGCCCAAGTGTTTTATATTTTATCACTTGATTCACAGCATTTAATTTGTGGTGGATTTTAGCATTTATTTTTACATGTTTGTTTAATTTTCTTTCTTTATTTAATAAGGTTTTCCTTTTAAGTCTGTGTGTTCTGGGTTTCACGTGTCTGCAAGCTACATTTCCCCATAGGAATATAAGATAGATAGATAGATAGATAGATAGATAGATAGATAGATAGATAGATAGATAGACTTTATTAATCCCCGAAGGGAAATTGGGTCGTC